AGATGTGGTAGCTGGCTTGGTCTTGTCGAATCTACCGTCCTTATGGGTGTTAGTACCAGTGGCAGTAACAGTGACAGTAGAAGCTTCGTCCTTAGCAGCCGAAGCAACGGCTGCAGCAGATGTCAATCCAATTATAATACTAGATAATTTCATTTTAATATCCACCTATAAACTATTAGTATAAAGAAAAAATGAAAAAAAGCGGATTAATTTCATATTTAATAACAAAAATACACAGAATTTCCTTTTCCAAAATCTTTCGCACCGATACTGTGTACATTTTGCCGGTTTATCCTTCGCTACAATAAGCGCTCACCAGCACTGTATGCTCGCTAATTGAAAATTTTCAATAGGTTTTGACATACGATTATGTACAGATACAGATAAGTAATCTTGCCTGCAACATATAGTTTTAAATATTTATGCTAAGAAAATAGTAGTTCTGATGTCCCAATTGGTGATTGTAATCTTTTTTACCTACATTTAATAAGTACTTAATAAATAGTTTAAAGCTTATTGGTGAGAAGAAAAAAGAACTTGTGTCATATGATTATATAAGCTTTTGACATTCCCAAAAGATTAATTGCCTTTACTAATCGGGTTAAACTAGTCGGTTGGGTCGGTGGGATTAATAGCCGGAAATGAGGTAATTTATTTATTTGAGGTGTATGGATGTTCGTGCTGTACTGGCCTAGATATGAGAGATATTAAATTTATTAGAGATGCAGAAATATATACGTTAAATACGCTATACCAGAGATGAGAATTATAAGATCAAAAGTTATAATTTATAAATTATAAGTCGTACGTTATAGGTTATAAGATTATAAGATTATAGAGAAGATTGTATCATTACCAATGAGATAAATAACAATACAGTAGATTAAATAATTGAATTATTAAAATTGGAAGTTTTGTTGCTGTTGGTTTGGATCAACCCCGAAACCAAAAGCATCGCCATAAGCTTGAGGAGCAACGCCTTCATCATCAATTTGATCATCCTCCTCAGAAAAGTACTTTTCGATAATAGAGTAGGCCTTTTCGTAGATTTTTTCATTTTCGTTTGCTTGACATTCAAAGATCTTTTCCATACCACCAGCTTCCTCAATGTATAAGGCATTTTCGTTAACAGATGCATTTCTCGATTCTTTATCCATCTCACCCATCTTCAAGATATTTTCTAATGAGTCTAAAGTAACTTCAATAATCTTAGTATCAGCAACCGCCAATAAGTCACACAATGGCTTAATACATCCTTGGCTAACCAAGTAACGAATCTGGTCCGGTCTCGTCAAACCACCAGAAGAAGCATTCGATATCGCCCAACAAGCCTCTTTCTTGGTTTTGTAATCACCGTTTATCAACAACCTAATAATTTGAGGAATTAAGTTGGCATCAATAACAGCTTGAATTTGATCAGTATTACCAGCAGTGATATTAGAAATTGTCCAACATGCTTCCTTTCTAATAGTTTCTTTTGGAGAGTTTAATAACGGAGCTAATGCTGGCAATACTCCAGCGTTTATAACTATTTGAGTTTGAACATCATTACCAGTTACTATATTACCAATAGCCCTTAAAGCAGGAGTTTGAACTAAGGTTGATTCATGGCCTAATAATTCAACTAATCTATGCGGAATTCTAGCATCAACAACGGCCTGGATTGCTTCAGTTGTGCCATCAGATAAGTACGAAACAGCCCAACAAGCATCTACCAATGTTTCAGTATCAACAGAGTATATCAACTTTGCTAATGTTGGGATTGCCTGTTGAACAACCGACCAGTCTGGTTGAGGATTCTTACCTCTACATAAATTGGATAAGGTCCAAGTGGCAGTTCTAATCAATGACATTTTTGTACTGTTAAATAAAGACAAAACTGGAGCCATTGCATCACACGCTAAGACGAAATCTCTATAGTCAGCCAGGTCCCCTGCAACGTTACCCAAGGCCCATATGGCTTGTTCTTTCACTTCTAACGATTGAGAATATAACAATTGAACAAATAATGGTACAGCACCAGATTCAACGACAACTCTCGTTTGGTCTGAATTACCCGAAGCAATGTTGGTCAATGCCCATGCTGCTTCCAATTGTAACATATCCGGATGGCTATCCCTCATAAACTCCACTAACGTTGGAATAACCCCACATCTAATAACCAAGTTGATAGGTGGGTTGTGTTCACGAGACAATATCTGACGGAACTTCACAGTAGCCGCCAATTGGTTATCAAAATCTGACGCTTGGATCATTTCCATCATCTTTGGCAATTCTTGCTGTAACTTGTTGTAAAACTGATTTTCATCACTGTTGCTGTTGGCATTGAATTCATCCTCATCTTCTGAATCATTTCCTGCGGTCTCACTGTTGAAGTTTCTTCTTTTAGATAACACTTCTTCTCTCTTTTGCTTTCTCAAATCGACTTGATGCGTCTCTCTTCTTCTTCTCAATTCATCACTCTGGAAACGTCCCTTGTTCTTAAAATTAGTACGACGATATTCTGGAATAAATTTACTGGTAGTATCTGAGTCCATGATGGTTTGATTGATTTATCAATGGCGATACAAGCTTTAATATGCAATCTTACTATTACCGCTTTAAAAATTTTATGGATGGCGTTGTTTTCTTGAAGAAATGATAATTAGTTTTGTGTAATATTCGCTGGATGCCGATTACATAATCGAGATATACAAAAAAAAGTCCTAATACTACACGAAGGGCATAAATCATCTCATATAACTCCTATATAGCCACTTATAACGTCATTTTCAATGCTTAAACTCGGTATATCAAATAGAGTTTCCAGGCCTATAACGCTTATGCGTTATTTTAACGCATGTGCCGTACGAAACAAGAGTCACAATACAAGTTACAGACTGTCCGATTCCACGGTGAACAGTGATGAAATCATGTCAGAAAACGATCCTTGGTCCCCAACGTTGTTCAATGATATTGTGCATATTCGTAAACCGAATTCTATCAGAAACACTCCACTACCATCGAACTACAGACTATCATACCTGGCATTGTACGAGGCACCAGGAGCCAAGTATGTTGCCATGTTGAAAAGACTCACCCTAAGCTTTGCCGTTTTGGGGTGCTACGGAGCTAAGCTCTTCTACGAGTCGGTCCAGTTTGACGATATTTATGCCATTGCAACGTTGATTTCTTGCACTGCGCCCGCATACTTTGTACAAATTAAGACCCGGGACTACGTGACAAGGATATTCAGGTTATACGACAAGGAGAAACCCCAGACACTTGAAAACTTGTTGGCAGACGAAAAATTGATCATGGAAAAATTAAATGCTACCGGGGGAAAGACGTACAATGAACTTTTGACAATCACCGACAACAAGTCATTGAAGCTCGTAGATCCACCACGGTTTCCTTTATTGAGCCCATATGCATCGTGGGAGGAAGTGGAAAAGGAATCTGGTGTGAAGAGAAAATACTTTGTTGCTGATGATATTGGTGGGTTGAAAATGGACAGGCTTTGGGGCATTGTTGAGCATAATAGTAAGGTAGATAACGGGAGATATATTGAGCCGGAAGTATCTACTGATAAATAATTTTTTATAGAAAAATCTCTCTGAAGCGTTCATTCTGCTTGGAACCCCATGTATATATATATAATCGTTACGAATAACCCCCATATTGACCTCCATTAGTGGTCTTCTTCGGCTTTTGCAATCTCCAGATTTTATTGATTGGTAGATCACACGACCTTGATAAAATCGACTTTTCCTTTCACGCCCCTTCATATATGGTAAATATTGATTTGACATTTAAGCGATAAACCAATGTTTATCTGAAGCGGTGAAATTTCAGGAAGATTTGTATATATTGGACGATATCTTAAGGTTAAATTTGGAGATTTAAGGTTCAAACATGGTTAATTTTTTTGGTCCTCCGAAGACGCAGAGTTACTATAATCCAAATTCTCCGATACGGTCACATCCCGTTTTACGACACGGTAAAGATAAAGAAACGGAAAAGGATAAAGAGAATGATAAGGGCGATGAAAAGGGTGATGAAGACATAGAAACAGACTCGAAAGAAGAAAAAGAACACCAAACGACAGATGCACATATAAAGAAAGGGCGTGGGCATAAAAAAGGAAAGGACGAGCCAGAAACGGAAACAGAGGTCAATACTAGACTAAATGCGCTACTTTATCATACAAGCAATGAGACGGTGGATTTATACAAACTGGAGAATAATTCTTCAGATCTATTGGGAAGATTGTATTACGATGACTACGACTCAGATGCATTGAGTTCCCCTGATCCTTCGAGTCCATTGGCTTCCCCAAATGGAAGCTTTACACCTACCTCTGACTACTTTAATTCTATTTTGGCACATACTTCGGCGACATCACCTAGTATTGCGTCTACTCTAGGATCTCCATCGCCTTCTCCGAGCATCGGATCAAAGCTTATGGGTTCACAGTCATCTTCAGCTTTGGGCTCTTTAGCGACGCCAGGTTCTAGGGTTAGACCAGAAATGAAAAGAATTAAGTCATTTGAACGAGGAATTTCTTTCGATACGTCTACTGATAGTCATAGAAAATCGTTAACTTTTAAGGTTAAACATCCACACTTTAGATTTAGAAGAAATAACAAGACATTTTTGGCGGGGTTTGACAATGGCATAGAGTCGTTAAAGGCAATTGAATGGCTATTTGATGAGATGATTGTTCATGGTGATACCGTGATCATTTTGCAAGTTCTTGATGAGAAGCAACACGAATTCATTGACAAACGTCAAGCCAATAAAGCGCTTAACAAGATTGAAGTATTGAATACGCATTTTAAGAAAGTTTCGTTGGTATTTGAAGTGGTTATCGGTAAACCCCAAAAACTTCTAAAGAAGGCAATAGATGAGTATAGTCCGGCGATGATGATTATAGGTACTCGACATTATGGAGATAAAGCCAATGCAGGCCACTCCAAATTCTTCTCATCTAAGTCTTCCATGTCGAAGCACTTTTTAGAATGTGCATTAGTACCGGTAATTATAGTCAAACCAACTTACAACTACGTTGAATTACTTCAACACCCAATAGAGTCTGAGCTGTATTTCCAAGATTGGCTCAGCAGCATTGATATAAGCGGAACTTATACGAAAGACAAGCACAAACGTAAAACTAAATTAAATTTCGTCACTTCGTTAAGTCCGTCATCTTCCAGATCCAGTTCGTATACTGATATGTCGTCATTAGCACACTCCGAGAGAGGTAGGGCCATACCGTCTACGAAGGAAAACCAGCCTTTTAAAAAGGATATAGAAGACAGAGGAAGGCCACAGGCACCTTCTAACAAAGAAGACATTCCCAAATTCCTATTGAGCGAATCGAGATCGAGATCTAGATCCAGGTCCAAATCTAGAGATTTCTCCAGGATATTTGGACGTCATCATTAGACATTAGTAACGTATATAGTAATAATAATAAGTCTAACACTATACACATAGTTCGAGTGTGCGCGGGATCCGGTAATCAAATTTCATTAATTGACCACATTCTCACCGAGTCTCATGCATTTTGCAATTTTGTTTGCTTCACCCTTCGAAAATTTATTCTACTCTTCTTCAGTCTTCAGGTATAGAGATTTCTAATTCCATAATATGACACAAAGAGTTGTCGGGAACCCTATAATTACTTTTATTGACTTCTTGTCAATTGTAATCGGAGCATATGGATTTCATAGCACCATATTGACCCTACCATTACCACCGCATTTAGTTGATGCTGGACACTGGCAATTTTTAACAAATTTAAGCTTAGTATATTCACTTGCTGTATTCGTTGTTGGATTTATTGCTCATATCACCAAATCTGAAAGGCTCTTCAGTTTGAAAAATAATTTACATCCGATCGGGTTGGCTCTTGAATCAATTGTAACTATGGTTTATTGGCCATTAAGGTTGTTTTGTCTTCGTTTATTAGTTGAAGATACTTCACTTTATCCAATACCCATGTCAGCGGATTTAGCAATTCATTTAATGCCTGTGATCTCATTATTAATCGATTATCTTGTATTCATGCCAAGATGGAAAATTAGAACCAGGACCGCATTCGGTATTTGCTTTGCCCTTACTGCAGCTTATTGGTGTTTGTTAGAATACTTAGTTGACGTCGAGAATGGCAGTTCCTATCCGTATGCATTTTTAAACGTACCACACAACGGATTACGTGCCTTGATTTTTGTCATAGTAGGTGGTTCGGCATTCGTGCAGTTCTTACTTATGTCTAAGATTTATTCTGTACTTGTGAAAAGCCCACAAGATTCCACGATTGAAGATATAAGCAAAAAAGAGATATAGAATGATACATAAAGACTAGTGATTTAATTTTTTTTTCCTATAATTACTATATGAATTGTTATTATCAGAAAGATGTGTAGCACTAGCACTGATGTAGAGTGATAAACACAGATTTCAATCTAAGTGACGCTTGGTATTTGCTGTGACCCTTATTGAATGATAAAGAATAACATGGTTTATCAAACCAAGCCCAATAAACACAAACAACCAAGCAGTCCTATGTAAAAAGTCACTATCATTCAAGAAAGGATACGGAAATTTGGTGAGTCCATCCTTGTTTAAGACAGACGTATTTATTTCTATCAACGACCAATATAGCCCCAAAAATATCACCGAGAAGCCAAACGTGGCTGCGAAGTCAGTAGAATTCATATCTTGATTATTTCTTATCAAAAGTACATCTATAAGTAAAAATATATACGGGAATAAATGAATTTTTAAGTCTAATATCCATGAAACATCGAAGGATTTACCATTAAGCATATCAGGGCAGAACAAAATTATTGACCAATAAGTGACCGTTACAATGAACTCTAAATTGCAACACAAATTTTCAAGATTTTTAACATATTCTTCAAATTTCCCATACTTAATTCGAAGCACTTTCACTACGCTGGTACAAGTGATACAAATCATACATAAACATGTCACCAATAGTGAAGTATTTGTCAAAAATTGCCAATCACCACCTTTAATCAAGTGCGGAGGTAATGGTAACAAAATTGATTCCACCAATCCAGATACACATACATATAAGCCCCATAAGTTCCAACTTATCCTTAGGGCTAAGCGTTTGTCCAGCTCCATCTGTCTCTTCTTATTATCTTGATACTTTTTATCACTATCTATAGGCAAATTAAAAAATCCCATATAGCACGTGAATTTCAGTAACGGACTCTCAACTTATAATCCTTTCATGATAATTATATATCTATTTTCATTATAGTATACTACTAGAGTCAAGATGGTTGCTACTAAATTTAATATACTAGTTATGACGCTAGTGTGTTTTATCAGGGGGATATATAGTTGGCAATTTCCTTTTAAAATGGTAGACCATTTATCCCCACAAGCTAATCAATTCATGGATAAGATATTGGACCAATTTCAAGCAACATATCATAATCATGAAAAGACAGAATTTGAACATTATTCTACGATTCCGGATAATGAATTGCCAATAGAATTATTACAATATACAGATGATATTGTCGTTAGAGTCAACTTTACTGGAAATGATTGTTTAAGAAGATTTTTGTTAAGCAACGAAGGTGAAAGACGCCAAGAGATACAATACAAAGTTTGGAGTAGAAGTCATACACAAAGTTTTATTGATTTACAGATAAATGAAGATAATTTAATTAAATTGGTCGAAAGGTTTACCACCCCGGAGTATGAATTGAAGTACGATATAATCATAGAGGACTTAGCACAGAAGGTGTTCGAAACATATCCCAAAGATTATAAGAAACAAAAGAATATTAAGGGTAAAAAATTTGGCAAGAATTTTTACCAACATGAGGCTACAGCGGAGGTTGTTCAATCAATGGAAGTAGATGTATTTTCCGAATTATTCTTCAGAGAATATCGTCCCTTGGAGACTATCAACGCGTGGCTTGAAATAATAGAGCAAACATTCCCAGAAATTGTAACGTTGGAAGATATAGGACAGACTTTTGAACATAGATCATACAAAGTGGTACACTTTTCTGTGAAAAAAGACGGTGTTGTACACGGACAGAAGAAAACCGTTGTCATCACTGGTGGTGTTCACGCAAGAGAATGGATTTCAGTTTCATCAGTGTTGTATACTATTTATTCAATGCTTAACTATTATCAAGAAAATCCAACTATTTTTGACAATCTTGATTTCTTGTTTATTCCAGTCCTGAATCCTGACGGATACGAATACACGTGGAATGCTGATAGATTATGGAGAAAGAATCGACAAGAGACTATCTTACCGAGGTGCTTTGGAATTGATATCGATCATTCTTACGATTATCATTGGACATATTCTTCTGATTGGGCATGCGGTGAGGATTATTCCGGAGAAGCACCATTTGAAGCAATCGAATCAAAAATTTGGAACGATTACTTAAACGCAACTAACGATAATCATGAAATCTACGGATATATTGATTTACATTCATATTCACAGGAAATACTCTACCCATATGCTTACTCATGCAATGAAAATCCAAGAGACGAGGAAAATTTAATTGAATTAGCTTACGGTATTGCAAAGTCGATAAGGTTGCAGACAGGGAAGACATATAACGTTTTACCTGCTTGTCAAGATAAGGATCTGGATTTGCTTCCAGATTTAGGATCAGGAAGTGCCCTTGATTTTATGTATCATAATAAAGCATATTGGGCATATCAACTTAAATTAAGAGACAGTGGAAGTCATGGATTTTTATTACCCGGTAAATATATTATTCCTGTTGGTAAAGAAATCTACGCTGGTATTAGATACTTTTGTACTTTTGTTTTGAATGAATAAAGACCCGCAGAATTTTGTGCGATTAAAATTTTCAGGTATTTGTAGTTATCGTAAGCTATAGAATTCAGATTATAATGAGAGTTGTTATTCAAAAAGTTAAGCAAGCATCTGTAGTCGTAGATGATAAGGTCATCTCATCGTAAGTATTTGCAAATAATAAACATAAGCTACAAATGAATTGAGATTAACCGTGAAAGAATTAATAAGGGTCTAATGATTCTTGTCGGAATTTCAACCAAGGATACTTTGGAAGACGTAACTAGGCTAACAAAGAAATTATTGGGACTTAGAGTTTTGAAGACATGTCTAATCCACCACTGACTGAATCTGTACAAAAGTGGAATGGAAAACCATGGGCAAAAAGCTTACTTGATGATCCATCCTTGTCAGTTTTATCTGTGTCCCAATTTACGCTCTATGGTACTATAAAAAAGGGAACGAAACCGGATTTCCATAAAGCAGCTAAAGGTATGGATGCCCGAAGCTTGTATGATGAACTATTAAACCAATTGAGAATTGGATTAGGTAGTGAAGAAAGAGTAAAGGATGGACAATTTGGAGCTATGATGGATGTTTCCTTAACAAACGATGGACCAGTAACGATAATTTGGGATACCCAAGATTCATCTTTATAAATACCTGAACTAGTTAGACAATATTTATCACTTAGACAATTTAGATGCATATAGGTAGAAAAACAACAGTCTGTTTTAGACTCGATTTTACTACAGATAATTTTCACATTAAGTATTATTCTCATAAAATTCGCAAATTACGAATATATTATATCTAAAATATATAGATCTATTCTAAATCAATAGAAATAGCGAATGCAAATTCAAGCATCAAAAATAAATGAATAAAAACGAATAAAAGAACACCAGAATTAAATATTAGATGGCATTACTCACACATGAAAACACTGATCCGTAGGCATTAGCTTGATAGGAGAGGATAATACTTTGAATAGTAGCATATAATCCAGGTCCTAAAATATAAATCCCAATACCAATAAGGAATATATTTATAATAACTTCTACCTTTCCAACAGGTGTTGCTCTATGGAATATTTTAAACACTGATAACTTAGATTCACCTAGTTTAGAGTAATGTAAACGCTTCAACTTGAAGAATGCGACACCCCAGAAAACAAAACCGAACCAACAATCAAAAAGTGAGCACATTAAAGAAAGTAAATCGGAGAAGAAAGGAATAACTTCAGCAATAATGAAGGCAATGACCCAAAGAAAAAGATTCAAACCTATCCAGGTACCCCAACCAACAATAGTATGATTGTTTCTGTGAGCAGAATCTTTGTTGAAGATCTTAAGGAACAAGAATTGCGACGAAACATTACCGTATAACGAACCTAAGAAAAGGATTGTTGGTAAAGCGAATGAGAATGCAACCTTTTTATAGTTTCCAGACAATCCTCCGAAAGCTGGCGCAACCATGTAATCGTCACCCACATAGACATAGACAATAGCCCCACAAAGAGCGAATGTTATAACTTCACACAATGTAACAATGTACAACGCTTTCTTGAAATCCTTTGGTCTTTTCATTTGACTGATAAAAGATGGGTATGTGATTTGTCCAACAAAGGTATACACAATGTTCAAAAATGCAGACATTCCTTCAACGTAAGTGGTGCCCTTAGCAGGGAAAAGTCTCCAGCTGACAGCTTCTTTCAATTCGTCATACCCATTAGGATGTTCCTGAATACCAGCGAAAATCATCGAAAGAAGAACCGCAATGAACATAGTAATGGCACTAAAATATGCCACACTTGATAACGACGAAAAAGTCCTTGGCAAGGAAAGCAAAAAACATATTATCATGGTAACAACCGCGAAAACAATCGAACAGATTGTTGAATTATCACTAATAGTGTTGAAGTACTTTGCACCCGTCAAGACGTGCAATGCTTGAATTAAAGTATTATTAAGTAAAAACATCAAAGCAGTGACATACCACACTACCTTAGAACCAAAAAAAAGATGTTGTCCAATATCACAAACGTTGGTGACATGGGGGTATGCTGCAACATAGTCGGTGATGATCAAACCGGTGTACAACACGGTAAGCGATACAAACACTGTCAAGATCAAACCCGGCACTAATCCTAGAACCGAGTACGACCAAGGAAATGACATAATAGCCAAACAAATATACTCAGAGAACAACAACCCAGCAGTTTTTTGCCAAGAGCAATTCCTGTAGTTGATTTGATGTTGCGACTCTTCAATGATTTGTGCCTCGATAAACTCATCGTTGGCCAACTCTATGTCTTTTTCAGACATCTTTTCCTTGGCAAGATCTTGTTGTGATGCACTCAACTTGTCAAAATCCTTATCAAAAGGGCCACCGTACACTCCTGGCGAGTCACTAGAACTCCTATAATAACGACTATCTGGGTTAGAAATAGATCCCATTTTATGTCTATCTTTCCAATTCGTATCTAATCAAAATTGACTATAAATTATCAATGCAGTACAATCAACCAACGTAAAAGTACTGGTAGCGAGTGAAATAGTTTGTATGAACTAATTAATGTAATTCGATATACCAACTTATTCCATAAACCTTATTACTATATCTTCTAATTGTATCACAAATCTACAATTATAATAGTATAAAACGGTTTAAAATGCTTGAAAATGCTTGAAAATTCTTGGAAATACTTAGAGATTTCTTGACACTTGATATAATTTCCCCAAAAAAAATCCAGCGATCTTCAATACTTCACAAGCATATATATGGACATAATTATCGAAGGAGATGATCAAAAGAGTTTTCATAGCAGCCTAAAAGGGCTTCAAACATGAACGCAGGATTCAGAAATTTATGTAAAAAGAACTGTGGCTATTATAAAATAGCAATTAAGGCCACAATTGTCACATATTGCGCATGAGACATCCAAAAATTAGCTATAACCATACTTTAAACGGTGTGGCGTTATCAACACACGTCTTAGCGAAAGGGAAGGCGGATATGACATAAGATATTTCATCTGTCTAATTACGGCGAAATGAATAATTACCATCATCTAGGTTACGATAAGCGTTAGTTAAGCGAGTTGTAGCCGTGAGCTCGTAGTTGTCGATATTTGTGCCACGGCATAACAGGGTCATATAGGTATGCACTGTAATGATGCTTGTTCCACAAAAGCCCCGGGGTGCAATTTTTCAACGTACTGACGGAATTCGGCCGAGATTATTCTGGGCGATGATTTGCAATATAAAATTGGTGGGGAGTGATTGGTGGTTGAAAAGACGGCGTTAGAAACGGATGTATACCGCTGGGCCATGGAACATTTCCAGGTTAAATGCATCATGGGACTTCGGGAAATTAGCACCCTATAATCAACGCAAGTAATACAATTGCAAGTGCGGTTATGATCCATCCGTATTTAAGATTGTCGAGGTTGAACCTTTCTATGGGATCAAACTCGAAAGACGTGAAGAGGACATTAGTGGAGGGTGTAGTGCTGCTAAACCACGTAGGACGTATATAACTCAACAAACTGTAGTTTAAGCATCGTTGAAGCAATAAATTTGCTACTATGATAGTAATCGACACAAGAACGGAGTATTTGATTATATTCGGCGGTTGGTTGGTCAGCAGCTTCGAAGTATTCATGATTCTGTTATACAAATGCATAGGATTGATTCCAGCTTAGACGGTCTGTTTGTATATGGATTTTGCGAATGGCGGTATAGTAATATCGACGAAATATTTCGTGGAATTGGTATTTTAAATTATGCGTGCCAGAACTTAATAGCACGACTCGGGGTTTGGTAAGAAATCGATGCTCTTATTGTCTTGACTAGCTTACTTTCTAGAAAAGTTCTAGGAGTAAATAATTTGAAATATAGGACTTGTAGTGACGAATATTTGTAGATAATTTGGATTAAATGAATCGGTCGCTTTTTGATCGTCGATTAGCTCGAGTCACCGAATGCACAACCACGAATATATATTTTATATTTACCATAATAACATTCTAGATACTTGATAAGGACATCAGATAATTAGCATATCATTCTTTATAAATTCAACCAAGACCCTCCAACGCCTTCTTAAAGTGACATATAGAAATATCGTTAGAACTACGTAGCTAACCATTATCATTCCGCTAAGCATACTAGCCACCACCATCCGAATCATACTATACACTATATCTAATCCACAACATAGAAGTTTTACTAGTAACCATATATTACTATCCGGTACTTCGTTATATACAGAGTTAATTGCACTTATGAACGGAGGATTAAACATTTCAGGGTGAATTATAATCATTATTGGATTCCTAACATTAATTAAATCCTGTCGTATATTCCTTGCAAACTGTATGAAAATCGTATTGGAATACATATCTTTACTATATATATTGGTTATTCACATTCGTTCGTGCTTTCTGACGTTATCCTTATTGCAATGAATAAAAGAACATATCAGTCCGATAATACTGGTAAACGGCGCCGAGTGGACATTTGTATACTAAATTTACCTACCGATATTTTAATTATTTGTTTTCAACAATTATCGCCCATTGATATTACAAATCTTTCATGTGTGAATAAGCAACATCGAGAGGAGCTAGTTCGTTTTGCTTTCAATAAAATAAAATGTACGTGGTACGATTTGACAAAGCTAAAACCGTCTTCCATCATTGTCGGACTCAATCGATTTATATCGCAAGTACGTATAGTGGATAGCTATTCCTATGGCGAATGGCAAATTGATATTTTTCCTATTTTACGGACGTATTTTCCCAATTTGTCACGACTTCTAGTCAATTCATCCAGTTCCTCGAATTGGCTAAAATATAGAGAGAGTGCAGATATTGCTGGTTTAACACTATACTATGAGGCAGGACATCATGAATCGGAGGCGGCTGCTAATTTGATCTCCAGTTCCAATAATCCTAAACGTATCAGCCATAAATTGGCATCTACCAATGTAAAACTCTTCAATCTGTCTCACCTAGATAAAATGCCTAATTTGACAACCTTAACACTCAATAATTATCACTTCAATTGGGAGAATGAAACAGGCTTACACCTTACTCATCTAAGTAAGTTATTCCTTGTTGATTGTACTTGGGAATACCCCTTTGATTTAAGTCAATTTAATATTAATAACTCGTTGAATAAATTATTCATCCAGTATACAAATAATAACTCATTCATATTACTGGAACGATTTACCAAATTCCTAGAAAATCCTACAAATTCTCAATATACTGCTATACAAGAATTATCAATTTTATTTACCAACTTTGATCAGCTGTGGCTAAAACCTTTATCAACCAAACAGTTGGCCAGATTTATTGGAAATCACTTCCCTGATTTAATATATCTAAGGCTCTCTGGGTGGCTCTTAAATTTGAAAAATTTCAATTCTTATATGAGTTTACTTGAAGACAATAATTTGAAAGTATTGGACTTATGTGTTACCGATTCCTCATCTACACCCAATAATGACAAATTAATTCGTGATATTCTTCAAAACTCAAAAACCCATTTTCCTTGGATGAAATTGGTGTTACGAACTTCACTCCACCATTTGTCACACCACTAATTTCTGCTACATAGATAGCTTATCCAACTCTTTATCTAGCTCTTTTGCATCCTTTAATTTTATCCTGTATATAAAACGAAATGTATTTCATTTCAACAGATTTGACTTACAGACCTTAATCTTAATCATTCATCATGGTACAATTAATTGCTGCATTGTATGTGGTGCTAGGCGTGTTGCCGTTTCTAGTTACTGCAAACACTGAAACGTATTTGCTACAAGTTCCCCATTATTTTAGTATTCCTTCCCACCCCAACGCCATAAATCCTCACGACTTGCATCATCGATCTGTTCATACTTTAAATAAGACCCATTCAGTTTTATTAGATTTTCCCATCCGAAACATTCCACCATCCGATAATATCTCCAATGCTGTATCATTGGTCTACAATCCACTATTACATCCGCCACAAAAGCTCTTGGTTAGATTGAATAATTACCATGATGAAACTTTTAAATCAGACGATTTGCTCTACATAAAGATATGTTGGCCCGCCATTACTCCAGTTGATTTTCGCATTGATCATTCCTTTTATAAGTTATCTGACTTGCGCTTAGAACATACTGAAGACCCCTTCGACATATACCTTGAAGTTGAAATTTCAAGTGACATCCATACCTACAGCACTCAGTATTACGATTCTATCGAGGAAATTCAATTTCAGCTCTACATTACAAAAATGCCTTGTAAATGGATTCCAATACCATTGGAGTTGTATGCTTACATAGTCTACATGGTAGATCTTTCCATCTTACTAGTAACCATAGTTCCATGGCTCTTCGGTATACTATTTACGTAGACCAGCTAAAAGTACAATATTTGGTCACGTGATACTATTATCTCCTTAAAACTGGTCAGTTAGAATTCGATAGCCATTATCTATATAGAATCTATTACCATCTAGGTTATTGAACAAAGAATTTAGTAAATAAATATGTCAATGCATGAAGATGATCCCTTGGGACCACCCAAGAATACACAGGGGTTGGATTTATCTAAATTATCTCCTCAAGAATTAAGAATTTACAAGATGTACGGGAAATTACCCACGACTCAGCAAATATTGACTTCTAAATTCCAAGATAAAAAATACTTTGACAGTGGAGACTATGCCATGCAAAAGCAAATGGGATCTTCGAATAAGGGTATTCCAGGCGGAATTCCTATGAAGCATCCAAACGCTGAGAAGGTGAAAGAAATTTATAATAGAAATTCGATCAGTGGCAGTAATGCGGGTATATTGTACAACGGTAAGCTGAGTTTGCTTAATGAATCGACTCCAAATAGCGCAGGAATAGAGGAGGAGGAAGAAGGTGAGACATCAAAATGAATGATAGTGGTCAGTCTGACAATCGGCAAGCGTGCGATTGAGCGATTGTTCATTAAAACAGAATCGGTGATTAGGCCTGTGGCATATTGACGAGTTGGTTTGCCGGTCATATTTATTTCGAGGCAGAATTGGTCTTGCTAAATAAGCTTGTTCTAACTTCTTGCATAACTTACGCTGCTTGTGCTGAGAGTTTCTATCGTACACCATTTCACTCAAACTTTCGAATAAAGGTTTCGTTAGTATGCGTATCAGCAAAGATACGTATTCAATTATGATTTTTGTTATTGTTTGACATTTTCTCATGACGTAGTCAAAATATCGGTAAATTATTACCATTCTATATAGCCTAATTAATTCAATATACTTGCAAATATGAAAAATCAAATTGGTATTTATATGTATCCTGTACATTAAGTAATAAATCATATTAATTGATATTTAGTACTGCTTTCCAAGCTGCAGAGCCTATTAAGAGATATGATCAAAGATGGCAGAATCACCAACTGTCAGTTCAATGATCATATTGATGAGTTTAATGAACTTTTATTGCAAAATTTAAGGTTAGTTACATCGAATTCGAATTCAGAAATATCAGATGCAAATTTTGATATTATCAATAATTATAAAAAGGAATTGAATTTAAACACGAAGATCCAGAAAAAGATTTACATGCTAACAAGAATATGTATTTCTGGATTTTCTTTACCTACCAGTTTGCTTGTCGATTTCACGATATCATATGACGATTTTTATATGGTTCCTGTATTATATTTCCGTGTATTTCAAGATAGCAGTAGATCGATTGGAGGAAATATAGATGAAGCAGGAGTAACTCCAATTACGTCTACAGAAGAACTTATTTCTAACTATTATTCAGTTTTAAACTTAAACGATGATCTGAATTTGGGTCCAACCATAACTTTGGATTCACATCATTTAATATATGACAGCAGTGTCTGGTTTTACATACATCCTTGTGAAACTTTACGTACGTTAAAAGAATTTATGGAAGCTGATAATATTCTGTTCACTTGTGATAGTGAACAGGCTCAAGTTCTAAAATATCTATGTATTTGGTATGCAACTTATGGTCTTGGTGGAATATTTCCATCCATCAGTTTAAGACTTAGTCTACAAGTGTAATAATGAACCTATGTGTTATTAATGTAAATAACTAAAACATATTAAATAAACTAAAATCTGTATGATGAATAATGTAAGTGAAGAAAAAGATGCAGCCAACTATGGTAAGAATTATGAATATCTATTGTTGAGGTTTAGCTTCAGTAAACATACGACATGGGTAATTGTCGGTAAACATACCATGTTGAGGTTCTTGCAAAATGGTCCAGTGAAACTTCTTTAAAGATGGAGCAACAATTGGTTCACCTTCCTTACCCAATAATTCACCCCTAAGAACGGATGGGGAAACAGAGTTTAAAGTGGTGGACAAACTGACTTCTTGGGATGGATCAATAAATACAGATAATTCCTTGGTACCTTTGTCTCCGATGGAAATTCTTGGGTTTTCTGCCGATCCTAATTGCAACAATCCCGAAACCTTGGTTTGGTTGAAGCCGTGTACTTGAGGATAGTTTCTTCTGTAATCCCTCTTATAAAATGGGTTCCCCTTGATATCACCAGCTGGGAAGGTTACAGGGTTTCCGTAGTTCTTCCCGTCTTCGATACGATCACCTGGAGGTGACTTTCTGTAGAGCGAAACAATTGGGTTACCTGAAGATCTGTTTGGGACTAAGGACAATACCTTTCTTAATTTTTCCCAGACACCGGTCGAGCCAGTTGTGTATTTCTTCCAGACTGGAACAGGACCTCCTGACATTTCTTAGTAGTTAGATATTATATTGATATCTTTCAATTATACCTAGTATCGTTTTGAATTATTCGCTAAGTTGATTATTGGATGAAATTTATTTAATGTTACACAAAACCATTTTTATATTAACCAATCAATTTGGTTCCAACAATAATGCACCAGTATATATAGGAAGTACTAGCAGCGCAAGATCTACACCCTTACATCGCATTCGAGGATAAGGTCAAGCGTTTGCAACTGGTTTGTGGAAATTATGCATTGAAATTTAAATTGTATAATATATAAAGTATATAGGGCAGATATTTGCATCTAAGCAACATAAATTATTAAGAATATAATGTTCGACAGAATAAATATGACGTAGGTTACAGTCAATGTCCAAATAACCCTCTTCCAAGTTTACCAAAAATAATCAAACCGCAAAAGAAAAAACTTCCAACGTATAACCAAATTGCTATAAAATCATCATCTTTGCCTATTTGAAAAAATTGATTTGCATATTGCACCACCAATTCATAGTTTTGCATGTATACGCACAAACAAGCTAAAGTTGCAATCAACAAACTGGATAAGAACCCGCTTATGGTACCATCCAACAATAACCACAATCCAGGGTTCAACAAGGACCAGATCATCAGTACCTGCAAAGATGAGCTCCATTCAATCTTACGTACGGCATATGAAATACCCAAAAACGTAACCAATGCTCTTACTAAGTCGTTGAATAAGTGTGCGTCCCTGTTTCTACTTGAATTAGGATCTGAAGATAATAATCTCTTGGTCAAAGACGCTGGAAGAATGCAATCCATCATGGGATGAATGAGACTCATAATTAATCCCTGGATTGACAATGCGAGAAAGTTGTCTATCCAATTAATTGAATATGTGTTTGCTGTTGTATAGCTTGAAAATGGTTTCAATTTATGAATAAAGTTCGATAAAAACATATTAGTGATGAACAATGGTTCGTATGTCAATTTGCTCACTTGAATATGGTTATTGTGGATATGTTTGGACGTCTCGTTGTATAAATAAGCAGCTCCCGCTAATATCACTACCTTAATAAAAGTCTTGATCCATCTAATAATAACTGGCACTTCTGTCCTTCTGGAACCCTTCGGACCACTCGCCACAGGAGATTCTCCATCAATGTTTTGTTTTCGAGGTGAATTTATGTATAACTTTGAACCTTCGATATATTCATCAACATCTTCACTTTCTTTGTTCAAATTAAGTAACGAATTATCATTGTAGATCCCGTACAAGGATGGTTTTGTCAAATTAACTACTGAATCTGTTTTCTCCATCACGTTCGGTGTAGATGTTCCTGAATTCGAGACAGAATTTAGCATGTTCTTGAGGCTGGTACTAGAAAATACTCTATTTTTAAATGAATTGGGAGTCGAAGCTGACATTTTCTATAATTTTATTATTATTTATTATTATAAAAGGATTATGTAAAGAATACTACGTTAGAATTGTTCATTCATTTCCTATCTATTGACAATTTTAAATCCGCATTAATGTCACGCGCTATTTTTATCGACCCATAACTCTACAGATAAATACTGAATTAATATACATAATTGTTCAATGCTTGTTAAATAAATCTTCGAAATTAATCGATTTAACCGTCTTCTTCATCAATTCTTGTTGTTCACTATTTTTTGATGTTTTTTTAGCATTTTTTGCAGTCTTACTAGAGTCTTTTAAGGCATCCTTCTTTTTCTCACTTTTTCTTCTCTTGGATTCCATCTTAGCCTGCTCAGATGTATTCTTGTTAGATATTTTTGTACTGCTTTCTCGTTGTGTTACTTGGGTGTGGTTCTGTTTTGAATCACCTTTCGGTGAGCTATTTTGTTTCACGTGGGTTGTTTCTTGTGCCAGATTATCTGTTTTCGGTTGTACATTAATGGATTCGAGCGATATTTCTTCGTTTAGCAACGGCAGAGGATTCGAAACATGGATCTTGTCACCTTTTTTTAATATTTGATCAAAATCCAAGTCCGCCACTAGCTTTCTTCTTGGATACTTATCGCTGTTTCCCTCGTAAATGAAGGTTCTTCCATATGACGGTGAGACCGAATACTGTATGGGTTCGTTATTGTCCTCTTCTTGAGCATCTGTGACAGTAAACATATGTTGAGTTTTGTCGTCAAGTGACGGTAGAAGGCTCGGAACAGATTGTTTGGTGTCTACGGTACTCTTCTTTCCTTCGTCTTCAGCTAGCCGTAATTTACTTGCATTCATTATTGTAGGATCAGTTGTGGTGGTTACTTGCATAATTGACGTGGTGCCTTCTTGAGGTGTTTCCTTTTCGCATCCCTCGATGACAATAATTTCATCTTCTTCGATCAATTTTCCATCGTATTCTTCGTTGGTTAAGTCTATAACTTCTTTGTATTCTGAATCTTCCTTGTCTAGCAAGTTTTTCTTACTCGGCGTTTGGTGCGGTTTCAGCCTACTCTCGGCTTGTTCTCCATTTTCGTCTTCTTCTTCTTCAACCATTTCAATATCCAAATCATCGTTATCAGGTTCGATATCCTTGGTATCAGCTCCTACTGTAGGACACCACTTTGAGTCTTTGAGACGTCTTTCGGTGGCCTCCAAGATTAATCTGCGAAGTGCTGCAGGATCTGTAGGCATCTTAGATTTGTCCATTCGATTACTTACTGCCGAAGAGCCTAGTTTTCTAGACTCCGATTTAAACTTATGGGCACTTAGCACCGCTATTCTCTTCTCTCTCACAGAAATGTATCCACCTCTAGGATTATATTTACCTCCTAGTGTCTGTTCTTCGCAAACATAGTTCGTCTTCGCCAAAGTTCCATATTGAATATTTTCAAAATCTTTCTTTAGCCCATCCAAGAACTTGTAAAATTTGGCATCATGAGGACCGTATAAATTATGCGTCAACTCGTGCAACATGGTGCCTATTATATCACCCAACGGGTAGAACAGTTTATCATTCGAATGGTATCGAAGCCGTATTAAAATCTTCTGCCCCCGATTAACATTAAGTCCCAATAAATTAGGATTTTTAGGATACATCTCGCAGAGTGTTCCTACTTTAAAATTATTCATATGCAATATTGGGGCTACCAGCTTGGCTACTTGATGTAATAAAGAATTCGCATACTCTTGGTCTGAAAACCTCTTTAATGACCCGATTTTCGATATGTTTGCGGTTGGAGATGGTTTATCAACCGCCTTAGTCCGTTTATTGCTAGTCCGACCTTGAAGAACCATATCATACCTCTTTCAAAGTCTAGTATCTTACTTAAAAGTAAATAGATAAGCCTTATATGTTTTTAATTTTGAACCTGCACTTGATAAAATAATTTGCACGTTAGTGTTATCAGGATTTTTTTCTTTTTGCATCCCCCAAGGTATATGATATCACTTCCTTTCATAGATTTATCATCGAATTATATATAAAAATTATATGGCTGAACGTATCATGATCTATTCTTAGTGATCATGAAATTGGTGAAATGAATTTTTGTTTTGAATTTTTCTTAATTTTTCTTAATTTTCACATTTTTTGTAAAATTCTGGTTAAACATTACTTTATATATATATTTAGTTATACAGAGCATAATAAACTATATTCATATTGAAATTATTCTACATACATCAGGATTAATAGCTATAATAACAATCATAATCATAATCATTATAGGCACGGGTTTTATAATACATTGCTTTTGGGTCGTCCTGTAAGTGCAAATGAGCTTCATGTTCAAGCTTATCCAAGAATTTAATCATAAACGTACCAGGTGCAGAGACTATGTCTCTACCAACTTCAAATCCACATTTATTATAAAAATTAACAGCTCCAACAACAGCGTCAAATAGATTGAACGTTGCGTTAGAACTGCCATCGGCCTTGGCTGCAACAAACGCTGCAATGGTACTACCTAAAGAACAACCAGTACCTGTGATGGAACTCATAATTCTATGCCCCCCTGGTATCTGAACTTGTGCTACACCAAATTTCTCATCAGGCAAAGAAACATCATGAATATTTTGGGAATCGCTATTGAAACCTGTACCATCAAATACATAGTTCACAGCACCAGTAACGACTACAACTACTCTGAAATCCTGTGCCACTTCTCTACCAATTTTTTTTATATCAGCTTCGCTAACCTCAGCAACTGAATCCACCCCACGCATTAACAAGTTATTCTCATTGGTGTGTGAAACTTGATATTTACTGGTGAGCTTCCATAATGCCAGAATTTCACCAACATTACCTTTTATTACAGAAAATTGACCAGCATTAAGTAATTCTTTGCAGCATTCAAGTCTTGGTGTCGACGCACCAGCGGCTACTGGATCAAATATTATATGCTTTCCATGCTTGTTGTAGACAGAAATCGCACGTTTGAAGATTTCCATTTGACCTGCCGATGGTGTCCCTAGATTCAACACTAATGCAAGATTAGGAATCAGCGAAGCAAACTCTTCAAATTCGTCAGGAAACTCGGACATGATCGGCGATGCCCCAATTGACAAAGTAACATTGGCACTAAAATTTTTGACGACGTTATTGGTAATGTGGTGGATTAAGGGCTTTGATTCTACAACTTGCTTGATCTTTTCACTGGTCTTAATGTAGAAGCATTGATTATTAATATCCTTCACCCATGGTACGGAAGACTTTATAACATTTTCAAGCTCTATAGTAGATCTTGCTGCATTTTTGCTTGCCATAATGCATGAAACTACTGCTACACCATTTAATGACTGCCCTTGAATTGCTGACTGATATAATACCTTTGATGCATTACTTTCATTAATGCCTCCAATAGCTACGCAGCTAATATAATTGTTTCCTTGTTTTGTATTATGCGCCTTCAAAACTTGAAGCATCTTCCTAATACCTATTGGTCCTGTTCCTTGTGGAACCAGAACGTTTGTTTTAGTATTCGTTTTATAAACGGTACCCAAACCAACGTAATCGGCGACTCCTTCTTTACAAACAGCTTCTACTTCACTTGGAAAAGAGCAACTAACTCCAACAATCTTATTAGGTCCTATCAATTTTCTAACAATTGATGCGGGCATATCATCTTGTCCCACATGAACACCTTCAGCATCAATTGCCAAAGCTACATCAACTCTATCATTGATAATTAGAGGGATTCCTTTTTTCAAAGTCAATTTGTGAACCTGAGATGCTCTTTCAATGAAATCAAGTGTCAGCATATTTTTTTCACGTAACTGAACTATAGTAGCTCCATTATTAATAGAATCCTCGACTTGTTTCAAGAAGGTAGAACCTTCTGGAATCATAGTCGAGTCAGTAACTAAGTACAAAGTATAATCGATACGAGAAACCATATCTTATGTGTTAGATGGATGTATTTTCATCTCTCTTTATTGGCATATTAAGCAGATTTAAGTATGTAGCGATTGCGCAGTTGGAGATATATAAGCGCATAGTTAAAGTATTCAGTTACAAGAATTATATGGGTCTGATATGCTAAATGCAATAAAATTATTCTATTTTATATGTATTTATATAAGTATCGATTTCTCTGTACATATAATCAATTCAATGCATTGTTTCGTAAAATGAGTCTATTGGAATGTAAGTTTTTGATCCGTTTAAAAACAATATGGTTACATATTCTTGTAATATTTAGATTGGGAGATTTAGATTCTTCATTCAAATTAGGATAACTATGAGGCATAGGTTAAATGATAATTAATACTTTCCTTATCTCTGCCGGCAGAGGTCCTATTGAACAAAAATCCACATTATAACATTATGGTACTATTCTAATGTATAATTGAAATAGATCAGTTCATATTTGCTTCATCATCGGTGACTCCAATAATGTCATCCTCATTTTCGAAGTTGGATATAATACTGTTAAGGTCTGTTTTGCCAGACCCACTCTTTAGCACACTCATTAGATCTCGGTTTCTCTTGATGGAGTATTCTTCACATTTTTTAATAGTTCCGCTAACATGAATACACCTCACTATTACATCTTCGTCTCCTAGTTTATTCATTAAGGCTAATGCAGCAATCACCATTTGAAAACTCAGTCTACCACATCTTATTATACCTGTAGAAGTTTTATTACTGAAATACTTGATTGCAAATTGCATACCAGCCGTACCTGCTCCGAAGTCACCAAAATGGTCTTGTATAACATTACGTATCGCTTGTGTTAGTGCCTTCTGATTAATACTCGATGGGGATGTTCTATGCAAAGTTAAAAGTGCATTCTGGCGTGATTTACTAAAATTAATGAAATCCTCTAAATTTTCTCTAGAGCCACTCGTTTCAGACGTTGGTGGATATAATATATCAAATAAGATATATCTTTGCTTCAACCTAACCATACTTTTTATATATCTATCAAACAGATTCTATATTAATTGAAATAATATTTATAGCTAGATTAAATAAATTTCCGCGATGACATTTTCAGTCATAGTAGATCGACTAACTATATAACTAAATACTTTTCAGTAATTTCTCTGGCTAACATTGAATTGCCATTGATGTTGTAAATTAGGGACAAATTATAAGCCGCTTCTACCAGAAGATCGTATTGACTATGCTTTTTCAATTTTTCATGATATTTCAACACTTTTTCATAATGGTGTATTGCTGCTGAGGTTAAACCTATCATGTGAAACAACCTACCCAAATTATACTCTATTTCCTGCAACTCAAATTCAGATGCGTCCTTCTCCCTGAGTGATTTATATTCCAAAATGTAACTGATACCCTGAAGCAACTGTATATGCCTGTTATTACTTAATCTCTGCATTGATCTATGCACATGTGCTAAACCAAGAACTATGCAGATCATGGGGTCTTGCTTATACTCCTTATATGCCCTGTTCAAGTAAACAATTGATGAGACATAACTTCTACTTCCTCCCAACAAATTGGCGTAAACGTATAACAATTCAGGATGTTCACGACTAAGCTTAACATTTTTGAGATCAGCTGTTATGGTTGCCATTCCGGTAATTTTCTTACCACTGAGAATGGAATCGTAAGCTTTTAATTGACGTAGAAAGAATTTTTGATGATTGTAATTAGCAAATGTTTCCCACGCCTCGACTCCAGATGCAAAGCAACACATAAAGAGTTTATAGATGAATGGAGAAAATTGATTAGCAGACAAAAAGTATCGTATATACGTCATAATAACGGTGCCAATTTCTTCTTGTTTGATACCAAATATTAAATGTACCATATTCAATATAGTTTCTTTGTTTTTATCTTGAACAAATACATTTACATCCTTTGCCACTTCTATTATATGAGTTGCATACTCCGTATTGTTATCGAACCGAGACAATAGTATAGCATATTGAACAAAGATGGAAAACCAAATGTCATAACTAAGGCCTCTATATTCAGTTGTTGATGTGAGAAACAGCCTTGTATAATTATCATCATCATTTGTTATACCTTCATATAAGTTATAGACCCTTGCTAGTTTTTCATCTATTCGCATTTGCTTCTTGCGTCTGTACAACACGATACCCTTAAATGCTCTATTCTTGTCTCTTGGGAAGAAAATCCTAACGTTCATAAACATCTCAACTAACTGAGAAGCTAGTTGCATCCATGCTGTAACTGCAACTTTTTCATTTTTAGTAATCGCATCTTCTAGACGTTCCATACGATGGTACTTCTCCATGACTTTTCTTTTTGCATTGTTTTCAAGTTCTAATCTTTCTTCTTCGCTTAATTTGGAATTTTTAGATGATTTTATTAGTTGTTTGTTTTTAATTAAAGACAAATTATCCTCTTCAACAACATCATTATCCAATTCTTTGTGATTACTATCAGCCTTTTCGGCCCCACTCTTTTCAGTTGCAATTGATACTTCTTCTAACAATTTGACAGACTTTTCACTTTCACCAAGATGATAGAACGTTTCTGCAAGAGCCAATTTAAAGTCTAAATTATCAGGATCTCCATACAAAAGAGAACTGTATGCCTGCTGGGCTTGTGTATAATCTCCAACCTCAAGGAAACACTTAGCTAGCAACGAGATTAATTCTGGACTTTCATTTTGCTCATCGTTTAGGGAGGCACGAGTCAAAAAAGTTAAAGCTTCCTCATGAAAGCCATGGGCCTCCAATGCCTTACCAGCTTCAAAATACAAATCTGCTATATCTTCAGTTTCTTCTAACAAATATTCAAAGTGACGCATAGCTTCTTCCTTTTGTTCCAATCCAAGTCTTAGACTTCCTAACTTAAAACGTATATCGATAGGTAAATTATAAAATTTTTCTTTCGATCTTGCCTGTTGGGAAGGGGATAAACCCTTAATCACTAAGAATCTTCTTTTATCAAATTCTGAATCGTCATCCACTTCGTCCCACCATTTTTCATCTGTTCTATTTTGTATCCATCTTGCAACTAATTTTATAACTTTAATACCTATCTTCCATGAATGCTGTTGTATATACAATTCACATAAAATATTAAGCTCGGCCCATCCGAATTTTGGAACACTTTGTTTAGGCTGACCAGCTGGACTAATATTCAGATCCAATATTCTCATGTATAAATTGATAGCATCATTGATCCTCTTCTGCTCAACATAAACACTAGCTAGGTTCTTAATAATGCTAGTATCAGCAGGGTATATTTGATGGACTTTCTGGAAACCTTCCAAGGCCCGTCCATATTGCTTTTTCTCCTTGTATAAAAATGCCCGCTCGAGGATGAACTTTGCATTTTTTGTATTATCTGAGGCAATCGCTCTACCGTAACAGTATATTGCCTGGTCAATATGACCCAATTCGCTACTCAATTCAGCAACATTCCCCCAGAATTGACTGTCCCATGGGTGAATATTTGCAGCTAATAACCATGCATTACAACACTTATGCAATCTCCCTTGTTGCTTATAAATTTCTCCTAAAGTCTTATATGCACTGAAATTCTTAGGATCTTTCTTGATAACTTCAAGATACAAATTTAGAGCCACTTGAAAATCGTTTCGAACAAAAGCTTCATTGGCTTGAGATAAATTAATACGAACTTCTGGATCTAATTCACGATTTGTACTCCTCATCATTTTCCTTTTCCAGTATGACTTTGATGCAGAGGCCTTCTTTTTATTCTTAGGTTTGAAGTTACCAGCACTTCTAAGAGCATCTCTTAAGTCGTAATCATCATCCAAGTCATCATCTTGCAGCTCATTATCATCATCTGATGAAGTCAAGAGAAGTCGATCATCATCTCCATAATTGTTGTCATCTTCTTTTTCCGATCCCTCTAAATCTTCAATAAAGTCTGCTTGTTCATCAGAAGAAAAAGTTAAACTGATATCGTCATCATCATCATTTTGACTAGTTCTTGATACTAAACCAGCGGAATCTCCAAAGTTTCCGCCTTCAGGATTCTCAAATACATTAGAAGACATCCTTCTAGGTGTTGATTTCAGCTATACGAATATCAATTGAATTGACTAAGTTGATAATCTTGTTTGTTTGTTTTGATTTCACTAAACCACGCAGCTTTGGATTTTTTTATCTTTGGCGCACTTTAATTCATTTGATGGTATTTAGCCAGGATCAAATTTTCACATAGTTAATTATTTCAATCGGTTACATATAAGATAATTATCTACTAAAATAGTAAGAATGCAAATAGGTTGCTGCTTAGCAATATGTCAATTCTTTTTATTGAGCGTAATTGCCTTTCAGGATAAAGATGTGAACCCTGTTGAGAATAAATTTGAAGTAGATCTTGAAGCTACTTGGAAAAGCAGCCCGTTTCAGTTAAATTTACTCGAAAGTATAACAGGCTATAACGAGTCTTTATTTATCAGCACATTGTCTAGCATTATTGGGTTTTCTACCGAAGAAAATGAATCGGACGAAGAATCGAATGAGGAGGTGGAAAGCTCTCTGTTAAGTGATTCTCAAATGTATAACAAGGTGATTGATGCCTTAAATCTAGATGACACGTCCAAGTCATTCATAGGGTTTAATTTGGTGAACAAAGTATTCACTCCTCGTATACAAGCACATTATGAGTACTATAATAATGTCGTTGATCCACAATACTCCCCTAGGTTGAATAAAGAATGCTCCACGGATTCGTTCGGGAATAAGATACTCTCAGGAGAATCAGATAAACATCGGGCGTGGATTCTTTATAACGACAAGTTGTACTGCTCTTCTGACGAAGTATTTGCCTTGAAAACCAACAAAAAGGCCATTTCGGCAGATGATATTTTACCATTTGACAGAGTAATAGGTTCCAACCAGGATTCGCCTCTCTTGGTTTTATATGGAGATATAGAGTCGGAGATTTTCAAAAGCATGTTTATAAATCTCTACGAAAGTGCCAAAATAGGAAAATTAAGATTTACGTGGAGGTATATTCCTACTTCTAATTCAAATCAACGTGAACAATTAAGTGGATATGGAGCTGATCTCACATTGAAGCGAACAGATTATATTGTTATCGATGATCGTGATGTCAATAAAGTCGAATCTTTAAATGAACGAAATACAGCAAACAATAATTATCGCCTAGATAAAGATTTATTAAAGATTGCAAAACTTGACGAGCTTAAACCTATTTCCAAAGATAACACTACTGATTTGGGGCTAAAATTGACGTCATTTGTATTGTCAAATGATTATTCTGATATTTCGAATTACGAATTATTGAACACCATTTTGCAAGACTTTCCTAAATTTGCTTATTATGTGTCCCATTTGGATCCTGAAAACATCGAATCAGTTAAAGAAAACGTGGATGCTAATGTGAAACTAGGTATGTCAGAAGAGTCAAATGGGATATATATCAATGGATCACCCATAAATAAACTTGAACTTGATATATTTAAATTGGTTGATAAAGTACGCGATGAATTGAAGTTGGTGAATGAACTAAAGGCATTAGGATTTACAACTAGCCAAGGAAAGAAGCTTTTATATAAGTTTGCATTACTAAGTGCTGTAAAAGAGTCGCAATTTCGCACTGGAAACACTATTATGGGTGGAAATGAAAATAGATTCAAAGTCTATAATTATCAATTCACACCAATGAGTAGACATAAGAAAGGAGGTATTGTATTCTTCAACGACCTTGAAAAAGACGATGTATATGAAAGCTTTCCTTCTAGTCGAAAGGAAGCTTATTTAGGATTTGCAGCACAACACCTTAGACCTGGCCAAATACCATTATTAAGAGAAAATATTCATGACTTGATATTTGCTTTAAATTTTTCAGATAAAGAGCAGTTGAAAGTGTTTTTCACTTTCTCCAAAATAATTCTTGACAAAAGTTTACCTCAACAGATAGGCTTGATTGCACGCGGTGGTAATGAGAAGGATAAGACGTTAGCTAAGATATTTTACTTTATTGTCGACACGGCGTCTTTGAAAGAAGGATTAGCCTTTTTGTACCAATATTTTGATGCAAAAGACGAAGAAACTGAGAGAGAAATCTTGGCTGCTGTTAACATTCCAACGACATACAACTTTGATGAGTCGATTTACCAAGACGTTTTGGATAAATTTTCAATCAACACACCATCAGTTATATGCAACGGTGTTATTTACGAGCTTACTTCGACGTGGCAGGTATTAATGGGCAAGCAACTTTCACAAGATATTCGATTAATACAAAATCATATCCAAAAAGGAAATGATATTAATAAATCGTTAAAAGGTTTTCTTTTTGAGAACGCAAAATCTGAGAGAAATTTACGTATTATTCCTGAGGACGCTAGTTTAATTAAATACAAAGGAATAAACCAAGAATTAATAGATAATTCTATTACCTTCAAAAGCAAGAAGAAAGAAAATGGTGTGTCAGCGACATTTTGGTTAATTGGTGATATCAATTCTGTTAATATTTTGAGCCAATTTATTGAAATTTTACGTATTATGAAAGTGGAAAGATCATATTCCGTCCAATTGAGGATCATGAACAAATCTACAAATGGTGATATATTAGACGAAATCCAAAGTCTTTTCTCTATTAACCTGTTAAGTAATAATAATATTGAAAATATGATTTCTTTGTTATCTGATAAATTACAAAAATCAGACAATTACATGCCAGATAAGAACGTGATTCAGCTACTTGAAGATAACGGGTTACCACCTAATCATCCTATTCTTTTACTAAATGGTAGATATTTTAGATTGGACAAAAAATTCTCATTCAAGGAATTACAGCAACTTTTAGAATATGAATTTAGCCAGAGACTCAATTTGTTTAGTGATATCATTTCAGCTTATCCACAAGAGTTTCCAAAATCATTTTGTGAATATTATTCGTCCAGCCATGACTGCTTTGACTGGTTTGATTTGGTCTCATCCTACGTCACAAAATCATTTCACATTGATGATAACATGTTTTTCACGGATGTTGCAAGATTTGATTTTAGTTCTTTGAACTTAAATAATATTTTAAAAGTGAACAAGGATGAGGCTTCTTCTAAAGCAGTTGATGTTTTACTTATAATTGATCCTATTGATGAAAACTCGCAAAAATTAGTTTCCATTATTAATGCTATAGGAAGTTTTCCCTTTGTTGATATTAAAATATTACTTCAACCGCAAATTGAAGCAACTGAAGAAGTAAAAATTGGTAGATTTTATCGAGGAGTATACCCACCACCTATTCCTCAATTCGATAGAAAGGGCAGATTAGAAGTTAGAAATAAAGCCGAGTTTGAAATGGTACCAAGTCAAGAATTATTTACTACTAATATTGATTCGCCTGTTAGGTGGCAAATAGTGATAGATGATAGTCCTCCTGGAGTTGATTTGGATAATGTTAAACTATCAAACTATGCAAACAGTTTAATTTATGGAACTTACGTTTTGAAAAATATTTTAATTGAAGGTTTTGCTAAAAATGTCAAATATGGCATGAATCTTTCTGGATTAACATTAGACCTAATTAAAGACAAATCACATACTGATACGACAGTCATGTCTAATTTAGGCTATTTCCAATTATCAGCTAATCCAGGTATTTGGGAGTTTAAAATTAAACCAGAAAGCAAAAGCCAGAAATATTATTCGTTGCTCTCCGCTTCTGAAAATGTATTCATTTCGAACACAGATCCTCTTGATAGAGTAAGGGTCGCGGTAATGAATCTTAATGGGCTAGTTTTAAAGCCAAGGTTCACTACCAATCCTAGGTATGAAAATAAATCCATATTTGAAGAAGATGATAATACAGAATCCAAAGAAGAGAACAAAATTGGCAATTTTATGAAGTCGCTTTTAAAATCTAAAGCTCCTACAAAGAAACAAGCAGATATCAATATCTTTACTATTGCAAGTGGTCACTTGTATGAAAGGTTCCTATCAATTATGACAGCCTCTGTGATGGCGCACACAAATAAGCTGGTTAAATTTTGGATTATTGAAAATTATATATCTTCCCATTTTAAAAAGCTATTACCCCTTCTAGCACAGGAGTACAATTTTGAATATGAACTCATAACATACAAATGGCCAAACTGGCTAAGATTCCAGCGAGAGAAACAACGCACCATCTGGGGGTATAAAATTTTGTTCTTAGACGTCTTGTTCCCACAAGACTTGAAGAAAGTTATTTTTGTTGACGCAGATCAGGTTGCACGTACCGATATGAAGGAATTGGTTGATATTGATTTGGAAGGAGCACCATACGGATTCACTCCAATGTGCGATTCTAGGAAAGACATGGAAGGGTTTAGGTTTTGGAAGCAAGGATATTGGGCCCATGTATTGAAAGATGGACTAAAGTATCATATCAGTGCATTATACGTAGTGGACTTAGATAAATTTAGGGCAATTTCTGCCGGTGACAGGTTGAGAGCTCACTATCAAAAGCTTTCATCCGATCCAAACTCATTATCCAACTTGGATCAAGATTTACCCAACAATATGCAAAACAAGATAAAGATCCATTCACTTCCTCAAGAATGGCTTTGGTGCGAGACCTGGTGTTCTGCAAGCGAGTTTAATAATGCAAAAACCATCGACCTTTGCAACAATCCTTTAACAAAGGAAAACAAGTTAGAAAGGGCCAAAAGACAAATTCCCGAATGGACTACTTACGATGATCAAATAAAACGCTTGGTCGATCAAATCAATGAAAACGAAAACAGAAAAATTTCTACAAAAGAATCTGAAACCACTTCTCACGATAGCCTACACTATGAATACGATCAATCACAATCCGATGATGACGTTCATGATGAACTTTAGTAGCTATATAGTTTAGAATCGAAAACCATAGAATTACGTAATGAGTCATATCACATGCTGTCCTCTAATAATTTTTCAGGTGCGGTACCGGATCAAACTATTCGGAATAGTAAACGAGATAATTTTCAACAAATTTATTCATACAACTTAAGGTTGTTAACAGTTCATCTTAACGTAGAGATAAATAGACTATGAGAATCTCTGAAAAATTGCTGCAAGCACATTCAACGTCCAATCCACCACCGGCCACATTCTCTTTTGAGTTCTTTGTTCCAAAGACCTCTCAAGGTGTCCAAAATCTTTACGATAGAATGGACAGAATGTACGACTTGAACCCAATTTTCATTGATATTACTTGGAATGCAGGTGGTAGATCGTCTAGTTTAACTAATGAGATGGTTTACACGGCTCAATCGACTCTTGGATTGGAAACGTGTATGCATTTAACGTGCACAAATATGAAGATTGAGTTGATTGACGAGGCATTGCATAAAGCATACATTTCTGGATGTCAAAATATTTTGGCTTTGAGAGGAGATCCACCATTGGACGGTTCAGAGTCCACCGGTGATTTTAAATACGCCAAGGACTTGATTAAGTACATTCGTAACAAATATGGTGATCACTTCAATATTGGTGTTGCTGCATATCCTGAAGGGCACCCAGAAGAAGAAGACGAAGAGAAAACTTTACAGTACTTGAAGGAAAAGTGTGATGCAGGCGCTAATTTGATCATTACTCAGATGTTTTACGATGCGGATAACTTTATCACCTGGTGTTCAAAGCTTCGTAAGATAGGTATTGACATTCCAATTATTCCTGGTATTATGCCAATTTCGACTTATGCTGCATTCATCAGAAGAGCCAAATGGTCAGAAGTATTGATCCCTCAACATTTCTTAGATACATTAGAACCAATCAAGGAAGATGATTATTTGGTGAGAGCAAAAGGAACAGAATTGGTTAGTGAGATGTGTAGAAAGTTAATTAAATCTGGCTACGTTAACCACTTACACTTCTATACTATGAATTTGGAAAGGGCAACTATTATGATTTTAGAAAATTTGAATTTGATTGAGTCAGTCAAGTCTCATGAAGTTATTGGCGGAAGTGATTTACCATGGAGGAAATCTTTACATCCTCAAAGATCAAAAGAATCAATTCGTCCTATTTTCTGGCAAAATAGAAAATATTCTTACATATCTCGTACTTCGACCTGGGATGAATTTCCAAACGGTAGATGGGGTGATTCAAGATCTCCAGCTTTTGGTGATATTGATTTATTTGCAACTGATTTATTGAGACAATCGCCAAAGAAGGCATTTGATTTGTGGGGTCACCCTGGAACATTGAAGCAATTCTCAGAGATTATCATCTCATATTTGAATGGTAAATTAAACTCTTTGCCTTGGTCTGACAGTGCTATTGGTGAAGATTCGGCTATTATTGTCGATAACTTAGTTGCCTTAAACAAAAAAGGATTTTTCACTTTAAATTCTCAACCTTCATTAAATTCCGTCAAATCTAATGACAAAGTTTATGGTTGGGGACCAAAGAACGGTTATGTTTATCAAAAGCAATACTTAGAGTTTTTTGTTCACAGAGACATTCTCCCTGCTTTGTTACACCAGATTAATAACTACAACATGAGCCAAGGAGATTCTAACTCTTCTATCTTGACTTATTACGCAGTTGACCAAAAGGGAAAATTATCTTCGAACACTAAAGACGATGATATTAATGCAGTTACATGGGGTGTATTTCCAGGTGAGGAAATTTTGCAACCAACTATTGTTGAAAAAGTCTCGTTTTTAGCTTGGAAGGATGAGGTCTATAGGTTGATTACAGAATGGATCAAAATCTTTCAAAGTGATTTTGTAAAAGATGTTAACATTACTAAGGAGGATGCTGATGCGTTTATTGAGTTAATGACCAAATTTAACGATGAGTATGTTTTATGTAACGTCGTTAATAACAACTTCATTGATGACAATCAAACTATATTTAAGTTGATTGACGAATTAAATATTCCAGACTTAAAGTGAATGCAGTTTCCTTCAAGCCTTGCTTGTCAGTTTATTTTACGACGTTTGTCTTTTTGTTTCTTTTTGTTTTTTTATTTCACACAAACAGGATGTTAGGCACTCAACATGCCCCGTTTAAGATCAACTTCAACCTCGATCTTAAATCTTAATCCTACATTGCGTATACTTTTGTTAGTTTATGACGGTACGATTGAATTTTTGTTTTTTTAAAAAAGTTATATTTCATTTCAACAATTATATTTTGGTTAATTTTTTGGTATTTTAAATCCTGTGAATAGTGTGGCATCCTCAACGGTATGGTAGCTTATAAATTATATATATGTATATGTATATGTATATATATCCCATCAAAGAAAAAGTTAAATTCTTTTTATTGCAAAAATAATGTAAGGTATAAAATAGTAATACATTAACGAATAAATAGTTATATATAAATGATCAACGATCTAAAATAAGGAAAAGAAGGCAAAGACAACTGGCAATATTGCATTAATGGTGGATATTGGTTTTCCACTCCATGCCAAACCCTCATAGCTTGACTCTATTGCAATAGACGAAGGACGTGAATAAGAGTTAAGCGACGATGAAGGTAGTATGAAGGAGGAAGTTGAAGTCACAACTGTAGATAATATTGTGGTTGAGCAGTCCTGTTGATTGGCACATGAAGTTGATGTAATTTCTTTTGTCAAAGTGATAGTAACGTCTTCGGTATTATAACTAGATGTCAATAATATCGTGCCTTTACTTTCAGATTTGGTTTCATAAGAATTTGAACTTTCTTGCAATGAAGTATATTCAACAGAAGATGATGGTGATGGACTAGTGGAAATTTCTTCGGAGGTTACTGATACAGATTCAGTACTGGGTGAAGACTCGGCAGAAGACTGAATCGAGTTTGATTGTGTTGCTGACAGTTCGAGATGGGATGTTGTCGTCAAAGGACAGTATGTCGTATAGCTAGTAGTTCCTGACTCGTTCGTAATAGTTACAATACTGATACCAGTCTCAATTGCGGATGTAGTACAACTATTCCCGTTACAAGAAGTTATTGTGATAGTCGACGTTGTAGGTAAGTGGTCAGTAGTAGTTGCAGATGCCAGTTCTGATGTTACTGTTATACTAGTACTTTCAATCCGAGATGACTTTTCTTTTGTTTTAGAGGACTTCAATGATGACAGCGAAGACTTGGAAAATTCACTGGTTCTAGTAGACTTGGATAAAGAGGTACTATAACTTTCTGAAGAAAGATGAGTACTCGTAACAATAGAACTAACCACTGAAGACGTAGTTAAGGCAGAATTCGAGAATTCAGACAGTGAAATAACCTCAACAGAAGATGATGAAGTCGTAATAGGTACAACTTCTGTTATTGGGCAGTATGTTGTATACGTAGTGACTTGTGTTTTGTCGGTTACTGTAACTACAGTAATTCCAGTAGGTACAGTTGAAGTATGACAATTGCCTTTGCTGCAGGAGGTTATAGTAACCGTTGATGTTGTTGGCGCATATATTGTTGTATAGTCGGTTGACTCTTGAGTTGAAGTAACAGAAGTATCTTTGATACTCGAGCTGGATTCAAGTTTCAGGGTTGCAATTGAGCTGTGATTAAGATCTGAAGAGCTGGTTTGCCCAGTTACACTAGATGATTCTTTTGAAACAAATTTGGAAGATGATGGAGTTTTGCTCGATGACTCAACTTCAGAAGACGATGTCTTTTCAG